GCGAGAGCGGCTAAGTCAGTGCTAAACGTAGGAAAGTCGGTCGAGCGCGGAGCAAGTCTGATGCCTTTTCGTCGGCGAGTACGGCGCAATGAGAGCGGATAAGAGCAAAACTAGAAAACTCTCCCCTTTCTACTTTCGCCAACTTCGTCGAAACAAAGCGTTTACATTGCACGCGCTCAAAATCTTTGCTAAATTAGCATCTAAATAGTAATTAATTTTGATATAGATTCTTTTTTTAACTTTCTGTAATGGAAGTGCCAACTTTGCGAAAGTTGTGTACAATCGCGACCGGCATCGAGTAACAGGCATTGAGTAAACTAATGCGTGGGCGTGGAAAGATCTCCGAAACGGCCAAAGCTACTTGAGCATTCCGTGTAAAATCACACGGCGGTATTTAAGACTCTGCTAATGCACCCACACCACGTATGTAGCCTCGTGCAAAATTGTTGGCGCGTTTACTTTGCCGGCCCGAATTCTAGGACTCGCCTGCCACAGTCATACTCTACGCGAAAATTAACTAATGAAAAACGAGCGAGCACGCAAACGAAGCATACGAACGAGGAATATTCAAAGGATTTTCTCGACGCTCCATTTTTGGTAACGTGAATCGCATCTCGAAATATTTAGTTTCCCCAAAATAATCAAAAGTGATAAATTCTAGTGCCGCTTCACATCGAAAAGCAAAACTTTTGCACAAACAAGATAAAAGATTTTTACGATGTATAAATCATTAAACTATAATACAAGCAACTAAACTCACAAACACAGTTAACAATGCGATTTTAATTTTTAGTGTACTTAAAAACTAATCTGCACTTTACATACTTGTAAATATTTTTCATTTATTATTTTTGCACATTTTAATCAAGGCGAGAAGAATAATGTCAATCTCTGTTTTGATATGCTTTCAATTACTTGCAAAATATTAGTAAAAAAATGTGTAGAAAAAAAATAAGAAAAATCGGAGCCTGAATAACTGGAAGTCGAAATTCAAATTTCATACATCAATACTTTTTTTCATTTATTTTTCGAATTATTTTTTTTACTAACAGTTTGCGTGTAATTAAAAATATCTCAAAATGAAGATCAATATTATTCCCTGCGTCCTTGTAAAATTAATGGACGAAAAATATTCATCAATGTATATGAAGATTAATATTCAAATATACTAAAAAATATTTCGCACTGCTGACCACGTGGTTCTTATATTATTACTATAATAATAATTATATATAATTAGATTCAGTACTTTCGTACAATAATCTTATTCTTCATGCGCAAATACAAAGTCCATCCTACTCGCTATATGCGTTGTGTACAGATAATTACTTAGTAATGTTAATTTGATAATTTATGATAATTGGAGGCGAAAAATATCAATGCGCGACTGGTTTCAATTGACACATTAATTAGGGACAAGCAGTGCACGTGTCTTGTTTGCATATCGCCTTTATCGTCTCCGCATGTACTACCGAGGCTAGAACAACGGGAAAGGAAGGTCACGAAGGGGTCGCTGGACCGACGGAAACTTATAGCAAACCAGCCTGGTAGGGACGGGACTGAATGCTAAGCACGGTCGGTCGGTTACATTTGCTTGCCGCTCCAGCTTCTTAATGAAAACCAACGGCATGGAAACGTCAGGTTTGCTTTGCCTTAAAATTGGAGGCACGACTCGCTTAGCACGGGTATTCTCAACGCAAACCGAATGAGGCTCAAATGCACGGCTAATTCGCTATGCTGTTTTACATTTTATACCTCGCCCACGATCAACTCCCGCTCTGTACTCGCGTATTTTAAATATATCGATATACAAATTGAAATAAATTTTATAAAATATACGTTCCTTTGAGTGTAAGACTGAAAATAAATACAGAATAAATTATAAATATATATAAAACATTAAAATTTAATTGACATTATATTTGGAATTTCAGAAAAAATGCAATTTTATCTCCGTAAGATTCAATTGCAATGAAAATAAATTAAACACACGCATTTCTCAACTCTTTTTAGATTATATCTGCATAAAATCTATTTTTATCTTTAAAATGTAGACAGAAACAAAAAATTTTCAACTTTGATGAACGCTCGGGGAACAAACGAACCGTAACTGCGAACAGTGAGGCGAGCAGTAATAGCCTTCACGATTGTCTACTTCATCGTGACTACTTATAAAGCGATAAAGCATCGTCTTGCGAAAAGAACCGTCCGCTCGTTTACCTTTTAACGATCGCGAGAAGCGCGGACGCAATAACTCGACGGAAAAGTAACCGGAAGGGCTCCTCCGCGTTGCTCGTTACGTAGCGTCTACGCTTTTACACTCTCCGATACACTCGGCCTTAACTTTTTACTCTCTTCATCGGCCTTTACGGAAAATTAACGACGGCACGGTGGAGCGAGGCGCTCGATTAGAGGCTGAATATTTATGTTCGCCTTCTCACCCTCCCCTTTCTGTCCCACCCATTATCTACAAAAGAAAGTGCTTATCTGCGCCTGTCTCAGTAAAAACGCGATGTCTAATTATTTCTCATTATTCCCTCAAATTTCATAGGCCAATATTCATGATCAAACTTTTTCGGATAATTTTTATTGTATTTACAATGCCGAAACAAACCGAACGAGATAGATAAAGAAAGAAAGAGAAGCGTGCTCTTATGTTAATTGGTTACTAATAATTAATAAAGTATCGAATATGCATAAAAACATTAAATTAATTTCTTGCAAATTCTTCAATTTTCATACTAACGTCGCAAATATAGAATGATAGAAATTGGTAGTTATTTAGCGCGAGTTTATTCTAGTATTTCTTATGCGCGACGGGGTTGCCAGCGACCTCGGCGTGGTCCGCGACGATGTAAAATTCGACGTTGTTGGCGCAGGTGCGTGTCGTACGCGTTATCGACCAGCGATAAACGCCAGACGATACATTGATGCGATGCGCGAATACCAGGAACGGCGGTAAGTCGCATCCCGTTGTTAAATAGCGACTCGATCAAAATAAATGTATTCGTGTCGAACATAGTTCGCCCGCATTCATTATATCCATCGGTCCGCTCGTGCCTACGACGATACGATTGTAAAGTGATTAGCGATATGTCAAGTCTGCATCAAAATAATCGTAAAACTTATAATTGTCGCAATTCTTTCTCCGCCAACGTTCACAAGATAGCAATGTATCTAATTAATATCAAATTCTCAGAGATGTCGATTATTTTTGAATCATTGCATATCAACGCGATAACTTCGTTTTATCTTGTATACGTTAAAATTAACGTCGCTTTAACATGTACGCTACATAAGCGTTTAGTCCATCTCGAGAAACGCAAATTTCGATTAAAATTAACTTGATTATCTTCACTTGAGACGCGTAATTACGCGATAGTCTCGTATCGATACACCCGTATCCTTCGTGCTCTGCATGGGTACCCGCACCTCCGCTCAAGCGGACGTTTCGGCGCAACGCGATCCGAAGGCGATTAATATTATCCGGAACTGCCGATGCGGTTAGCGCTCCGTCACGAACGGAGGAGAGGAGAAAAGGAAACCGAGGCGGTGGCGGCGGCAGCGGCGGCCGCAACTGGCAACGAAACCAATAACTATTAATCGAAGCACCACCGCACATTCAGCAAAGTCGACGCGATTTCGAACGCGCGGCAGCCCTCGATTACACCCTTACATCTCTGCGCATCGGGACACGTAGATACGTATTTCAAACGGCGAACACCACCCTAAACGCGAA